GCCTCCATGTCCACTTTGTGCTGTTCCAGATGTCTAGCTTCAGACTCGAAAACCCTTTTGCGCAGCCTTCTACACATAACCTGTGCTTTAGCAACATCATCTATTATCCTACCTTTAAGATTGACTCCTGGCTTGATGTCTCCTGCTATATCGTCCACCAACCACGATGGATAGAAGTACACATGACCGGCATGATACCTATCTTGCTCAATGGTTTCTCTTTCCACAATGATCTTTTGGTTCAAAATGTGTTGTGCCTTGAACTTGAATGGAATGACGTCCCCTTTGAAATCTGCCTTGTATTGGACCATGTTGGAAACTCGAGGTAGGACCTGTTTTCTTTCCGCTTGTCTCATTACCCTTATAGGAGCATATGGATAGATGCTTCGCAACCCGATCAGTACTAGATGAGTAGTCCCTCTTGACCTGATGATGAACTCACTGCTAGGAAACCAGTCAAACGTCCAATGTATCTGCTCGTCTTTCAGATTGCTGAAGAAATGCACCCAACTTATAGCATTCTCAGGTTGTGCAAACCTGTCTGGGATAAATGTCATTTTCTTTGGGTGATGGTAAGCTATTGTCACGACCCAAACCGATGGGCCGCGATGGGCACCCGATACCTGACTTAATCGAGTACTAACATAATGTATCTTTTCGTATCATACTATCATAGATAACTGAGCCGTAGATGCTGCTGTAAAATAGGTAGAATACAATATGTAATACCAACTTATACATAAGACATATGGGCCTGTAAGACCAAAATAGCCACTCGTACACTAAACATAGGCCCACAAGGCCATACAATCTTTTACGTACATAACATATGTCTACAAGCCTCTAAGGATACATAATTGTGATACAGGTCGGGACAGAGCCCAGCCATACCAAACATTACACATCTAAATCATACAGACCAAATAAGCAACTCAAGAGCAAATGGAGTGCACCAACATCCTCCGCTGAGTTGATCGCCTACTTGGAGGACTCTCGACCTGTCTATCGAGACCTGCGAGCATGAAAAGCAGCATCCCCAGGCAAAAGGGACATCAGTTCAAATAATGTACCGAGTATGTAAGGAATGAAAATCAGTAAATAATAGACATGATAGAAACATGGAGTAAAAGACTCGACATGTAAGTCTGAATAACTCCGTGAATCATTAATATGTATAATGCCATGCATGTGCGTATAAATGTTGTGTCGTGCATAGGTACATGTGTTCATAACATCATCAAGCCTCTGAGCGCATCCCATCATATCATCTCGGCCACTGTGGGCAAAATCATCAACGTATACCAGCCGATCAGGTGGTGGTGCGTATATAACGCCATCTGGTCATGGGTCAATGTACATGTATAAATGAATGAAATGCATGAGAAGTACGTCAATAAAATCTTTCGGAATGTCGTAAGACCATCATGCCTTTGATTAATATCATGAAATAAACTTTTTTTCAACTTACGTATGTGAGACCCATGAACAGATGATAAAATAGTAGGACACATGGAAATTAAAGAACATAGGCACCTCTAATACTTCTTTGAATAGAGTTATTTATGGAAGTTGTGCATTTGCTCGTTTCATTTGTATCATACGGATCATGCCAAAAGAAAGAAGGGATAGCCTTAACATACCTGAACCGATTCTCTTGGAAATCCTTTTAACACATGCCAATTGCGACGAAACAGGTAACGACAGATCGAAGTAGGGAAGAATCCGTATGATATTCTTTAGAAAGATTTCACGGCACTCCCTTAGAATCGCAAAATCCCATTGCTATTGTATTAAATAGCCTTCGTATGAAATGTTGAAGCAATTACAGTAACTCACGTTGCTATGTAGATTAGATGTAAGCATTTCTCCATTTGAAACTTAAGGAAATATTCATGTAGAAATCCAACTAATGTTGAAAGCAATTCATGTATGTCATGGCAGATCAATACGATTTCTTTCCTCATGAATGAAGGAATTTGAAAAGTTCCTTATTATAGTGGTGTGGGCCCCACTTGATAAGGTTACTTGGCCAAAGACTTTTCCAACTATTGACACCTTTTATGTGAACTTAGTAGTCACCATTTCCCTAAGGCAAGGGCTGCCACGTTAAGTGTCCTTAATCTTTAACCCAAGAACTTTAATTTCTTAGCTAATATTCCCACCAAATCATTAAGTAACCCAATTATCCACATAATTATGAATTATCTCAAATTACTTAAAATACTACTCACTTTAGCGTACCTTATACACCTCACTATCATAGTCATATTGTACCTTGTATGGCATTAGTCCATAAATACCGGGTATTATAGCTCGGACCGTATTTTATCCTAAATTAACAAACTTCGACGAAACTCATTTTTTTCGATCCGCTTACCCTTTCACCTTCACGAATTTACTTATCACTTGTTTGAAATAGCGTAATACTTATAATCCGAAAATAATCTCATTCCCGAACTTTCGCCGATTAATCTTTCGACGAAGCTTTAACGTACGAAAATGCGGGATGTAACAGCTATTTAGTCATTTAACGGCAGTCGCAGAAGCTCTTGAAGATATTCTCCTCTCTGAAAGTTTTTCAAAAGCCGAACATGCAGTAACATATTGCAACCTTCAAAGTGTCCAAATCCTTTCTTGCACCAATCTAGAGCCGGTACATTTCAGCTAAGATCATGGGAATGATGGTATAAGTTTTTCCCTCAGTGCCTTTCATCAAAGTCCTGGCGACAATGGCTAAGCGGGTATGAATCCTTCCCCTTTTCATTGGAATTATTAACAACCCCAAGAAGAAGACGATGAACACATAAACCCAGCGGTGCCTCCAACCCAAGGAAGTAATTGAGAGTTCATCACGATGAAGATGATATGACTTACTTTGCTTATAACGCTTGTAAAGAAATTCAAAAGGGATGTATGATTTCTTTAAACAGAGCAGTTTATCAATTTTCTTAAAAACCCAGCATCTTTAGAAAACTGCGAGGGGTGCGATTCTCTGGTACTAGTAATCCCGGACTATCCCATGGAAACTTAGCGAAGCCTCCTATTTCTTCTAGGAGAGGAGTCATTTGTATGTCCCCAATTCGAAAGACAGCTCTTTTCTCATCCCAGTACATGGTAGTGGCCTCAATTAATGCCCTATTTAGTCAGATGTGAAGCAAGGATGGCAAGTCACCAAGTACTCTTCTCACATGATTCTTGTCTTAAGGTGCAAGGTCTTTCCACCAGTCAAGTAGCAATGGTGGGATGTTTTGGACTATGCCGAACCTAGGGACTTCGTGCTTCATTTTCTGCAAACAAACAAAGGTTAGCCCTTTCCCCCTCCAGATTTGATTACTTACGCAATAATGATCAACATATTGGCACATTTTCTACATGTAATGCACATAACATGATAGTGTCCATTGCGATTGTGGAAATCCCATCGGACATTGGACAAGGTTTATCTTAGCGGGCTTTTACGTTAATAACGTTCTAACCCGTACCAGATTTAGCATGATGCATGTACATTTCAAGTTGGAGTAAGGTTTCTAGAATGGTCTAGACTGGTATTCTCATGTGGACAACTTGAGAGGGAAAGGCATGGGACCGTCGATTGCACCGCTGGTCGACTAGTCTACCACAAATAAGCCTTTCCGATTTAAAAAGGGTAGTTTTGGAAGATCGCGGACAATCGTCAAGCACTGCTATGTTGATAATTGGCACGGTGAAGTATGACACGGAGCATGCTTTATGCAGAGATAATAACACGTTGCCAAGTATTTGCATGATAAAATATGTAAAAGCAATAAATAAGATAGCAAAAGTAATCATGGAAAGAATAGAAAAGAAAGACAAAAAGGAAGAAGTTAGCATGATAAGCCAAGGCAGGCTAACGTGCATCACTGATGGCTAGGAAACGCAAGCAAGTAGCTCCGGCGACCGCTGCTACAACACCGGTAAACTCGACGATGCAGGCTATCAATCCGTTAACGTTTGGAAGTTTCTTACCAGCTAGTTTTCAACCAATTGGTGAGGAAAGCGAGCTAAATGGAACGGAAGAGAGGAACAGTAACCAATGGAACAGTAAAATTGAAAATTCAGCAAAGGAAGCTCAGAAGTGAAAGGATCAACAGCCAACAAGTCCAAAACGACTACAATTCTCTGAGGCTGGATCTTCAAAGCCAACTCCAGATCCAGATCTTGCAGTAACTGCATAGATAGGGGTGGAGAAGACAGTCATGCAAAGGAACTTCAACAACAGAATCGAAACTCTCAGATAGGGATGAGATTAGAATATGTTCCACCAAGTCACAAGGATGGCAAAGTGGTCATTCAAATAGAGGATAATGATGTAAGTGAGTTGAAGGAATATTGGGAAACTTCTCTAATTGGGTATTATTGGGAGATACTCCGTATGAGAAATCTATGGTGAGTTATGTAGAAACAGTTTGGGATTTTATATCTAAGCCCCAAATTGTATATCACCATGATGGCTATTATGTTTTTCGATTCACAACCGTGGAGGATAGAGATACAGTTGGTCAAGCAGGGCCATAGACATATCATAACAAGCCATTTATCTTACAGAATTGGGAGAGAGAATTCCATTTTGGTCCTAAATGTATCACTACTATTCCACTGTGGATTCACTTTCCTATTTTAACGGTTGGGTATTGGACTGCTGATGCTCTAAGCAAGGTTGCCAGTGCTGTTGGTATACCAATGTACACAGACAAATACACAGCTAAATTGAACAAAATCTCTTATGCAAGAGTGCTAGTGAAAGTGGACATAACAAAGCCATTGGTAAAGAATGTTGAAATTGTGACTCCCAATGGTGTTAAACAGCAGGAAATTCTATACGAGTGGAAGCCAAAATTTTGCAATGAATGTTTGCATTTTGGGCATGATGTTTTTGAATGCTGGAAGCTAATTAAGCAAGAAGAAGATGCTGAATTCAACCTCCAATAGAAGGTGACAAAGGGAAACAGAACTCTGAAGCTGATACAGATCAAAGAAAAATGATGATACACAAAGATGATGACACTGAAAGAAAGAATACTTCAATAGATCAGCAGGGTAAAATTGATGAAGTTAGAAATGCTAATAGATTCAGTGTATTGGAAGAATATGGACAAACATCTGCACAGGGAGGGGGTTTGACTCTTGACCCCATACAACACCCACCATGATCATTAGTACTTGGAACATAAGAGGGCTGAACAAGCCCTATAAGCAGAAAGAACTGAAAATCTTTCTGCAAAATAATAAAATAGATATCTTAGGATGTTTGGAAACTAGAGTCAAAGAAAAGAGAGCAAAAATGATTCTGTACAAGGTAGCTAAGGATTGGGGGTTATTGCTGCAACTATACAAAGCCTGAGAATGGTAGAATCTGGGTGTTGTGGATGACCAATCTTTCAGTCAACATAGTTCAAGTTCATGAACAATTCATTCATTGTATAGTGAATGATTCAATGACTGGATACCAGATTATGTTGATAGTTGTATATGCTAGAAACAAGTTGCAGGAAAGAGCAAGTTTATGGTGTGACTTACAACTGATAGGGGGCAGGTTCAACTTCCATGGCTCATAAGTGGTGACTTCAACAATGTCCTAACCACTGATGATAGGTTAGGATAACCAGTTACTATGAATGAGGTGAAAGAATTCAAGGATTGTATTGAGTCTATGCAACTGACCCCATTGAAGACAAAGGGTTGCTTCTATACTTGGTCAATAAAAAGCATGCAGATGACAGGGTATACAGTAAGATTGACTGGGCCTTTGGGAACTTTGAATGGATCAAGGACTATGGGCATGTGGAAGCTGATTGCCTAGAACTTGGGGTGTTAGATCTCTCACCTATAGTGGTCCAAATATGGAGAAGAAAGAATATATATCCTAAGCCATTCAAGTTGTATAAGGTAACAATGGAACACAAGGAGTTTCAATCTATGGTGGATAAAGTATGGAAGCAGAAGCTGGGAAATGACCCTACGGATAACATATGGCAGAAGTTACAACAGCTAAAAACTATGACTAAAGGATTAAACAGGGAGATGACAAGCTATGAGAAAAGATTGAGTCAAATAAGACAACAGCTGGAGTATACTCAGATTAATTTAAAGTTTGATCCCTTTAATCAGGATCTGATTGAGAAGGAAAAGCAGACCTTTCAGGAACTAGAAAAATGGAGTATAATAGAAGAAAGAGTTTTGAGACAGAAGGCAAGAGTCAACTGGATAGACTATGGGGATTCAAACTCAAAATATTTATATGCACAGCTGAAGATCAGAGCAAGTAAGAACTCAATTACTACTGTGTATAATGATGTGGGAGCTAGAGTCACATAACCTAAAGCTGTAGAAAAAGTATCCATCACCTTTTTAAGCATCTTATGGGAACTGACACTGGGATCAAGACATGTCCTAACACCAAATTCATCAAAGAAGGAGTGTTTTTATCATTGAAACAACAACATGATCTAATAAAGGAAGTAACATATGAAGAGGTTGATGAAGCAGTGAAAGACATGCCAAATGATAAAGCCCCTGGAGTTGAAGGCTTTCCAGTAGAGTTCTTTAAAATGCACTGGGAAGAAGTGAGACGAGATGTATATGATGCTGTATTGTTCTTTTTTCAAACAAGCAAGATGAAGCAAGCATGGAATTGCACAGCCATAACATTGATTCCAAAAGTTCCTGCACCTACAATTGTGAAAGACTATAGACCTATCACTTGTTGTACTACTGTCTACAAAATCATTGCTAAGATTCTGACTAAAAGGATCAAAAAGGTAATTGAGTGTATAATTGGGAAAGCACAATCTGCATTCATAGAAGGGAGGAGCATTGTGGATAACATACTGTTTAGTCATGAGTTGTTCAATGGTTACAATAGGAAAGGGTTATCTCCAAGGTGTGTACTCAAGGTTGACTTAAGGAAAGCATATGATCATTGGACTGGCAGTTCCTTAGATATATGCTCACAGATCTTGGCTTCCCTCAGAAATTCATTGTATGGATAATTGAGTGTGTGACAACAGTGTCCTATTCTCTAGTACTGAATGGAGGATTTACTAGACCTTTCCCTGCTAAGAGAGGTATAAGACAAGGAGATCCAATGTCTCATTATCTCTTTGTGATTGCTATGGAGTACTTGCAGAGGGAGATGAATCAATTAGCTATGCAGAAGGAGTCCAAATTTCATCCAAAGTGCAAGAAGCTGGGAGCGACACACATTTGTTTTGCTGACGATTTGTTAATGTTTTGTAGGGGTGACACACAATCAGTTACTATATTGCAGGAAACCTTTTATAGGTTCTCAAATGCATCAGGATTGCAGGCAAGTGCAGAAAAGAGTTCTATTTATATTGCTGGTGTAGCACAGCATATAAAGGAACAACTGATCGAGATTACTGGATATGCAAAGGGTAGTATACCTTTTAAATATCTGGGAGTTCCACTATCTGCAAGAAAACTAAACATTCATCAATGCTTGCCTCTGGTTGAAAAGATTACAAAGAGAGTAAGATGCTGGTCAACAAGGATGCTTTCATACTCAGGAAGAATTCAACTCATAAAATCAGTGTTATTTGGAATACAAACGTATTGGGCTTAAATTTTCTTATTGCCAAAGAAGATCATGAAGATGATAGAGACTATATGTAGAACCTTCTTGTGGACTGGCTCAACTGATTATTCCAGGAAAGCACTGATTGCGTGGGACAGAATATGTCAACCTAAAGTTACTGGTGGTTTGAATGTGATTAATATGAAGATATGGAATAAAGCAGCTTTATTAAAACATCTCTGGGCCTTGGCTACGAAGAAGGATACTTTGTGGATTAAATGGGCTCATATTTACTACATAAAAAATAGGCTTATTGAAGAGGTAAGCACACCCAAAACAACAGCATGGGTGGTGAGGAAGATCATAAAGGCAAAGGATGAAGTACAGAAGCAGACGTTAATTCATAACAATCTCATAAACACACTGGACAGCTTTGTGAAGCAAGGCAAATTTCAGATACATAAAGCTTATGTCCAATTGCAGCCTCAATTTCCTAAACTAGATTGGAAGAGTATTCATCTACATGCACAGATTCATCCTAGGTTCAAGTTCCATCTATGGCTGGCTATCCATCAGAGGATAGCAACTGTGGATAGACTTGCCAAGTTTGGTATTCAAGTTCAGTTAGAATGTGTATTCTGTGAAAAGACTATGGAAACATTTGATCACCTATACTTTGGTTGTCCAAGTACAAACAAGCTATGGGAAAGAGTATTGATATGGATGGGCAATGCGAGGCAGATAGGAAGCTGGCAGCATGAACTGAAATTGATAAGCAGTATGGCAAAGAGGAAAGATTGCAGGGCAGAAATGATCACAACATTGTTTGCAATGGTTGTCTCTTGCATCTGGTGTGAAAGGAATTCAATGCGATTTAACAAAGGAAGATACAACATCGATGAACTTTGCAAGGAAATTGCAATACATATACACATACAAAGCGGAAAGAAGATCAAAGGGCCAGCAGAATTGGAGAATTTAAAAAATATTCCATAGTATAGCAAATTGTAATTAATGTCAGTATAGTATAGTTTCACTTTGTAATAGTGAATAAGAGATTAATGGTCAGCATTAATCTGGGAATGTAAAGACAGTTTTTTGATGAAATAAAAGCCAAATTTTGTCAAAAAAAGAAGTCAGTTTAATTCATGGAATATATGCAAGAATGTAATAAAGCAAGTAAAGAAGTAGTCATGGTATAGCAATATTTACAAGATGAAGAACGGGCATAGCAGATAAAGGTGAAGAGGGGAAGGGATGTGCATGTCATAGCAGGTTTAAATAAGTAAAGGTGAATAGGGGAAGGGATGCACATGTCGTAGCAGGTTTAAACAAATAAAGGTAAAGAAGGGAAGGGATGTACATGTCATAGCAGGTTTAAACAAATAATGGTGAATAAGGGAAAGGATGTACATGTCATAGCAGGTTTAACCAAATAAAGGTGAGTAGGGGAAGGAATGTGCATGTCATAGCAGGTTTAAACACATAAAGGTGAGTAGGTTAAGGGATGTGCATGTAACAAAGAAAGTATCCACATAAGCCATGTTGATTGTGGTAAGAGCCTAAGTGTAAATACCCAGCAGAGTCGCCATGCTGTCGCGCCCCGTTTTCTCGCGAAGAGTGGGTTTTGATGTGTGACAACTCTTTAAAGGAGGAGTTAAAAGAGAAGAGTCACCACCAAACAATTTTTAAGCTGCGTTAGGGCACCTATTTGCAAATAACTCTGTTTGACTAGTCAACGCCACCAAAGATTGGGTAAGGGCTCAAATTACCTCAAAGAGAAGATGTTAGGCACTCTTCGAGGTCCACAACTGTGGGTCCCGGCCGAACTTAAAACTATGTGAATGGTTTAATTAGGCTAGATGATCAAATAAACAAAGAAACTATAAAAGTTGAGGAGTTTCATTATAACACAATGAGAATTAGTACAAATCTTTAAGGACTACAAGGATACAACTACAATGGTTTTAGCCTAAAGGATCACCCCGTGCATCATAAATAATACTTCACAACTCTCTTTAGGATAGGAGTTGCTCATATTATTCGGCGGGCACAAAGTATCATCTCCTGCTACCCGATTACTATGTTGAAGTTGTTATCCAAAGCGTTCTAATTCAATTCTATGTCGTGTCCTATGTGCACACTACCCGTCCCATGCCTATGGTCTAGGAGGCTTTGGACCTCTATTTGGGTGGTTCTAGACTTACTTAGGTTGCTCAAAATAATAAAACTAGTCGCGCATTCAAAACAAATAGGACTGCACATAACAGCAAAGAGTGGCTCATGTTAGCCTCCACACATAAACAAAGAAGCACGCATCCTGATTTTTAGATTAAGTAGTAGAACATTCCGAACTTAAGACTTAGAGTCGTTTGGTCCTATAGGCATGATCTCTATATGATTTCAGTATAATTAGGTAATGCGGCATTTTTAGGCCAAAGTATAGATCAAATCATTATAAATCCTATAGACATGGTTTCTAAGTGATTTTGATTTCTAGCAATATACATGCAACGTATTCGCAGATTACAAACCTATAGGCATGATTTCTAGATTGTTTGCAAAAGGCAGTGAAATAAACTGATGGGCAGGGACGGGCACCTAATACCTTACTCAACCGAGTATAAATGTAACGTATCTTTCGTATCATTCTATCATAGGTAAATGAACCAAAGTAAAGCATGGGGGAATACAAACTTACACATATGACATACTGGCCTGTAAGACCACAAATGATCACCCGTACACTGAACATAAGCCGACAAGGCCATACAATCTTTCACATACATGACATATGTCTACATGCCTCTAAGAGTGCATAAATGTCATAAAGGTCGGGACAGGGCCCCGCCAGACTAAACAATACACGTCCAAATTATACTGACCAAATAAGCAATTCCGGAGCAAATGGAGCGCACCAAAATCTTCCGCTGAGCTGATAACCTACTTGGAGGACTCTCGACCTATCTATCGGGACCTGCGGGCATGAAACGTAGTGTCCCTATGCAAAAGGGACATCAGTACAAATAATATACTGAGTATGTAAGGAATGACAATCAGTAAATAGTAGACATGAGAGAAACATGGTGTAAAAGACTCAACATGTATATCTGAATAGCTATGTGAATCATTTAATATTATAATGTCATACATATGCGTATAAATATCATACCATGCATGGTTATATGCATCCATAACATCATCAAGCCTCTGAGGGCATCCCATCATATCATTTCATTTCGGCCACTGTGGGCAAATCATCAACGTATAGCAGTTGATCAAGTGGTGGTGCGTATATAACGCCGTAACCTTTTCCCATATCCATATAAATATACATACATATATACGCGTATATAACGCCATCTGGTCATGGGTCAATGTACATGTATAAATGAATGCAATGCATGAGAAGTATGTCAATAAATTCTCTTCTGATGTCATAAGACCACTATGCCTTTGAATAATATCATGAAGTAAACTTTATCAACATACGTATTTTCTGAGACCCATGAACAGATGATAGAATAATATGACACATGGGGAATCAAGAACATAAGCATCTCTAGTATTTCTATAAATAGAGTCGTTTATGAGAATTGTGCATTTGCTCGTTTCGTTTGTGTCGTATAGATCATGCCAAAAGAAAGAAGGGATAGCCTTAACACACCTGAACTGGTTCTCATGACAATCCCTCTAACACACGTCAATTGCGACAACACGACGGCGGATCGAAGTAGGGAAAAATCCGTATGATATTTTTGAGAAAGATTGTACCGGGCTC